TCTCATCAAATGAATGATACTTTTTCTTAAAGATTTTAACATTTCCCTCCAACTTAATAAAAGATGTTAGCTCTAAAAATTCTACATTTCCTCCAACTTAATGAAGGATGTTCTTTATGGTTATAATATATACACTCAAGGAAGCACCCATCCTATATAGTTGACAAGTTCAAGATAGTCTTGAACAAAAAGCAGAGACTTTCTGCACTTTAAGCAACATGGAAGAACCATAATGGACAAAGATGATCCAAAAACTGATAAAATAATCCAAATAAAGCTGTGTATCCCCAACATTTGATAGTGTAATATAAGCATGAATCATTCTTAAATTATAACCTAAATTTATCTCCAGTAATTCATTTAAAAGCTATTGATTTTCATCATAGAAGTAGTTCAACTAAATGCAAAAATCTCCAAACAGAACTAACTAGGAGGCTAACCTCAGAGATAGAAGTAACATTGATAAAAAGACTTTGATCTGGAGAACATGACAGCTCACAGAAAAGATTTAAGAAGTTCCTCAAGCATGCTGGACAACCTACGAGGAAAGGTATTGCCTGCAAAATCATGGTTAAAGAGCGCAAATGCCGCATCATTAGAAAGGAAAAATAAAGCGAAATATTAACACAACCAAAAGGGTTGAGAGCAACCCAAAAAAAAACCTCTATTAGAAATATATATATAAGGTAACAACTCTTTACGTGACTACTAAAAGCTGCAATTAGTAACCATAAAATCATCTAATATTTTCTCATGACCAACCAGATTTTATCTATTTCCAGTTCATTCTTTTTTAATATATATATATATATATTGTAAGCTTATGTAATTATTCATGAATTAGAAATACAATTTCTCTCTCCATATGATATCAGAGCTATAGGAAAACAATCCGACCATCTATACAAAATCTAAATCAGCCTTTATTTCGAGGACTACAAGAAGAAAAATCCGAACCTAAAACCAGCCTTCATAGTCAATACCCCTCCCAATAATCGACCCGCCTGCCACCTGCCAGCCACACTCCAGTCGCAACAGCTGCGCGCCTGCCTCTGCTGCAGACTTGTGATCTGCCTCTGACCAAAGCCAGCTCTGCCATGCATTCTCTCCCTCTCTGCAGTCTGCTCTGCCGTGCCCCATTCTGCTCCAGCTATTCCACTTCTTCTGCAGCCGCACCTGCTGTACTGTGCTCTGCTGTGCAGGACCTTGTTGATTTCTGGTACATCACCCAGGATCAGCCTTCACCATTCATACTTTTAAGCTCACAAAAATGACTTACAAGATGTAGGAAATTACATAATCAAACGATTCTCCAATTGGAAGAGACTTTTCCATCCCAGCAGCCTGGAGAATAACAAAACATCCAGGCAGCATATAGACTGGTTGGAAAGAACTATTTTAAATGGTCCCAACTTGTTTGTACTATGTTAAAGGGAAAAGGAAGATCAGCCCTTTCACATGTACAGGACCAAAATCAGGAGATCCTCGGTTTGAAGCATGGAACGAAGAAGACTCTATGATTATAGCATGGTTATAGAACTCTACGATACCCGAGATCAGTGCCAACATGTATGTTCTTGACTACTCCAAGTGATATTTGGGACGTACTCCAACCAACCTACTCGAAAGCTAGAGACGTGGCTCAAATATATGAGGTTAAAGTAAAGATGATGGTTGTGAAACATGAAAATAAAATAGTTTCAGAATATGCCAACCAATTGAACTCCTTATTGCAAGAACTTGACCATTATAGGGTGAAAGAAATTATATGTTCCGACAGTTCTCAAGGAATTCAACGAACAAGACAATGTTTATAACATTCTTGTTGGACTAAATCCAGAACTTGACCAAGTAAGAATTCAAATTGTTGTTAAGCCTGAAGTCCTGTGTTTTAACAAGGTGGTGGCACTGATTCAATGCAAGGAAAGTGGAAGAGGCATGATGCTTGAACCCCATAACACAGACAGCTTAACTCTGGTGGCTATCAGCAGCAAGAATGCAACTGAAAAACCACCTATCTAAGACAATAGAAAACTTGGTCAAACAAAAATTCAAAATCATGATAGCCTGTGGTGCATCTCCTGAAAGAAAGCACCACACTTGAGAATGATATGAAAAGCTACAAGAAAACCTCCAAGCCGAGAGTAGGGACAGAAGGGTGAACAACAAAGAAACAATGGACAAGCCCATTTTACTGTGACCCAGCAAGAGGATATAAAACAACAAGCGAAAGGAGGATAGAACAATGAAGAGATTGGGAGAGTGAGATTACTTATTAGCAAGCTGTACAAACCTTCAAGTTTGAGCATATTCAAGCTAAGTTTTCATTTCTCCTTTGATTAAATTTCTACAGTACAACTTTAGCCAAACTCTTGGATTAAAGGCTCATAAGCTACGAACCACATGACCCAGTCATCAAATATTCTTTCCACCTATTCTCCATGTACAAGAAATAGCCATGGCTGATGACTCTTTAACCATTCTAAAAGGAAAAGGAGATGTCAAAATAAACTAATCTCTGACTCCAAACAATGTCATTTATGTTTCTTACTGTCCACAAACCTTATCTATATTAAAAGCTCACTCAAGATCTATATTGTAATGTTGTATTTTCATCACAATTATATTGTATCTAAGAAAAGGATGTAAGGAAGATGATTGGACATGCTAGAGAATAGAATGGGTTCTACTACCTTGAACCACACATCAATCAAGTATTCTCAAGGGCAAATTTCTTCATTCCTTTATTTCAGAGTCTTTTTCATCCAATAAAGACCAACTTGGACATCTATAATTTACAAATCTTAAAAGTTTGTTTCCTTCTTTATCTAAAAGTCCTAGATGTTGAATATTTTCACTGCGAAGTACCCAAACTATTTAAACATAAACATGTACCCTTTCCAGTTAATAATAGAAGAAGTTCTATTGCTTTTTATCTAATTCATAATGATATTTGAGGACCTTTTACTACTCTTGATATCTATGGCCAAGATGGTTCTTGTCATTTTATTGACAACTATACTCGCATCCCATGGACTTTTTTGCTCAAATACAAGTCCGAGCTCCTTCCAAACTCTTACTCAATGTTTAGAAACTAATTTAGGTTCACAATCAAAAGATCGAGGAAGAACAATACTCGAGATTATTTCAATCAAAACCTAGACCTATTTTTGAAGAAGGAATGAATAACACATGTCCTCTTGGGTCTACCTCCACAATACAACGAAATCACAGAAAGAAAAAATGGTCATCTTCTTGAAACCAGATCAATATTTCTACTTCAAAAAAGTACCTAAATCATTTTAGCGGAAAAATGTACCTGCAGCCACACACCTCATAAGCTAGTTACCTTTTAGAGTTTTGGGATTCAAGAGCCCAACAGACATTCTCTCCACATTCTACCCTAACCTATACACAACAAACCATCTTGTCCCCAGGATATTCGGGTGTCTATCATTTGTCCAAGTGCATTACCGTGTATCTTTGTAGGTTCCTCATCAACTTAGAAAAGGTATAATTTGTACTTTCCTCCCTTTAAAAGGTTCTATATCGTGATGGATGTCATGTTCTATGAGTATGAGTCCTACTTCCCTCCCCTTATCTTCGGAATGAGAATTCAGTAAGTGAAGATAAGAATCTTGTATTTAACTTACCAGCACAACCTGTGTATAATCAATAGTTCTTACCTTATTCCTCTAAGCCATACTCCGTGTCTGAAATCCTGAACTAGTACCTGACACTTCACAAGACGAGATAGCATATCGTGCCCATGAGAATGTAAGATTTAGCAAAGTTAAGGTGTTGAGGACTCATTATCATCTCCTTCCAGCTTATCACCGAAAATCTGCTTAGGGTTCTTAACTCAACAGTGGCAACTAAACATGAGGGTTGTGCTTGTTGCAGGACTTAACCTAACACCTTATGGCACAAGCTGATGACAATCATGCATCCCCGGAGGCACTCCTCAAATTCAAGAGGATTCGTGGCATGTCAAGCTTCAGTAGAGTTCTTCACTTTGCATTGAAATTAAACCACATGCCCCGCACTCGTGCAGGCTCCTATCAATTCCTCTAAGTTCCATTCTTGTGACTTACTCCTCAAGTGGGATATTTAAAGCATTGATTACAGCTCCGGAATCTGTACAACTCCCCAATTCTAACTTGAATACTAAGAATGAGGTAACAATCTCTAATTCTTCATTGTAAGATAAAACTGAATTTCACGTAAGTAATAATGAACAGGAACTTCCCATTGCTGTCAGCAAAGGGACTACAAAGTGTAACCCTCTCTCGCATTTCTTGTCCTTTCAAAGACTAATTTAGCATTTGTACAATTTAGTCTCTAATAGCTTTTTCGTTATAATTTTGTCACCTATATTTTTTATTTATTTAAAATGTTCAGTTTTATTCTATTTTTTAATGAAGAAAAGTTAAAACTGGCTAAACCATTTTGGACATTTCAAATAACAATTCAAAAGAATAATTTTGACTAATTAATTAAATTAATAATAATAAATTAAAATTTAATGGAATTAATAATTTATTATTTAATTATCAGTTAAATCGTTTTACAAATTGTTTTTAAAGTGCCGAACATGCTTACACTTTCAGCTTTTTCTATTTGCAAATAGAAAGAAATTGAGTGTTTGAAACAAATGAAAAACAATATGGATCAAATTGTAACGAAAAAAATATTAAGAACCAAATTGTGACACACGTCAAACTCCAAGAACTAATTTAGCAATTTATCCAAAAATTATCTGTTATAAATAAGATCCAATCGTAATAATAAATCTACAATCAGCATAATCCATAATCCACTACAACACAATCAAACAAAGTACCTCGAAAGTTGACAGACACTTCATCATAGAAAAACTTGAGAGCATATTGATTTTGTACACCTCATATTCCTATACATGGCCAATTACTGATGTACTTACCAAAGCAGTGAGTTGTCTAGTGTTTCAGAATATTGTTGTCAAGCTGAGAATGGAAAGCACCTATTCACCAGCTTGGGGGGGGTGTAAGAAAAGTAAATAAGTTGGTGATACATTTTTTCTCTTTCTG